TGTATATGTATGTAAATTTCAGAACCTAGGCTGTGCATTTCTGGGACTTCGTTTCCTTCAAGCATTTTGCAGTGCAGTGAGCTGCTTTTATATATAGCAAACAATTTGAAAGAATACCAAAATATGAGAAGTTCATTTAAAAAAAACCAACTACAGTATAGGCTTATACAGTACATTCAAAGACTTTAATAAAAAGAACCAATAATAAAAGGCCTCCATTTTAAATGTTATTCATATATACCTTGTGGATGAGAGCTATGTACTCTTACACAATTTTTTTGAGGAATAAATGATTGAATTACTGAAGGGGAAAAAAGACCCATGTGAGGAGAAAACCGGGTAGGTTCTTAGTTGGGTAACTGTCCCTCAGATTCTAGATTTGGAATGCTCGTAGGTGGGGTGTGGCCTGACTCAGTTAATCATCAGTATAAGTTTTGGGGGGGGGGGAAATTGTGGGCCAGTGTCCTGTTGTGCCGGTGTTGAGTGTATCCGCAGAGGAGTGTGTTGGAGGGAGGGAGCAGAGCATTTGTGCCTGTGTCCTGGTGCTTTTCCTCTGTCACCTTTGCAGAGACTACTTTTTTTTTCAGAGTGAGGGTTTGTGGCAAGCTTGTTGGCAACAGTTTTCCAAAAACAAGTGCTCACTGCTTGTCATGTCAAACTTCTTCGCCAGCATTTCAGACTTCGCTACAAAGCTGCTGCATATTTTAGTAGATCACAGCCGCGTGTCAGCGTACCTTGTGCAGGCACTTGGGGCCGGAGGACTGGATGACTCACTGAAGCCCTTGGGCCCTCGGGTCGTCAGAAACTGACCTCGCTCACGCTCTGAGCTCTGCGCTAAGCATGTGTGCAGCCAGGAATCCCTCATGTGCTTCCTCACCTGTGCGGTCAGGCACGCCCTCACGTTAGTTCTGCCTCGGAAGGACCCCTGGAACCCTGGGCTCGTGCCACCCACCCCACAAATCGTGGCTGAGTGGAGCACACTGTTGAACCCCTTAAGTTCATCCCTGTCATTGTGAAGCCTTCCTCGGCTTTTAGCCCACACGATGCCCTCTCCAGGGACTGGGACCCGATAATGCCATGCCCAGAGTAAACAGGGCCGGCTGCCGGTGGATGTGGCCCGTCTGATCCTCCAAAGACTCAAAGCCTCCAGGACCTTATGGGGCAGCTTTACTCTCTCCTCCTCAGTGCAGAGCTTGGCTGTTTGATTTCTACATACTGAGTATCTGCAGCTCAGTCATCTGAGAAAATACAGAGCAAAATGGCCTGTTCTGTGTAGTCTTTAAGGCGAAGGTGCGCCCCGAGGTGATGTGATTTAATGGGTGTGGAGTGGGGGCAGTTGTTAAGATAGCCTCCTGTGACCTCACCAGGTGCTTGGCCTGCGGCCTGGGCGCTGGCCGTCAGTAGCCAGGGAGGGGCCTCCCCAGGTGGTCCCCCTCTCGGGTCCTGCGTCAGCTCCAGGCACGTCCCCATGAACGAGCAAGAGCAGGGGCTCCACTCCCGGTGCCGTTTGTGGAGCACAGACCCCCGAGGAAGGGTTGGGAGGGCTTGAGCAATCCCAGCCCTCACCCAGCAGTGGTGTAACACCGCGGTTTAAATAAGCACGACTCCTACTTTGAAGCATAAAATGTACGTTGACAGTAATCAAGAAACGTAGCTCCTTGCGCTTGGGTCACCGTGTCGCCTCTGTGTTGGGAACCTCGTAAAATTACAGGGGACAGTTTTGTCTCTGCCGGATTGTTCAGGCATATTGATTGATTCCAAGGGTACAGATACCGGCCGAGTTCGCTCATTTTCATGAATTACTCTTCCCTGAAGAGTGTGTAGGGGAAAATAGATGATCGTTTTATCCTGAGAGTAATGCACATGTCCGAGCACTCCGCTGGTGGAATGGGGCGGCTCGGGTGCGGCGTTTGTCTCCCCACCCCACACCCCAACCCCAGGGCCCATCTGCTGAGCGGTCACCGCTGCAGTCTGTCTGCAAACTTTTCCCATCGGGAGTCTGGTTGCCCGAAAAGTGGACCATTCCCCGTTCCCCAGACCCCACTGTCCAAAGCTCGAGTCTTTCCTGAATCCAGGACGGGGGAAGGGGGCCAGCACCCCGACATCTGGGCCTCCGATCCTTCTCTCCAGCGGGCAGGATCGGGGTTAGCGCGCGCACTGCGGACACTGGCCAGTGTGTGTATCGGCTTTGGGACGCAGTGGTCCTGCTCGCGGGAGATGGGGTGGGGTTGGTCAGTGAATCCCAGGGGTGCAAGGGGTGCGGGCAGCCAGGGAGAGTGGAGGTCAGTGTCCTTGGGGTGGCGCACAGCTCCCATCTGCAGGCTGTTGGTGTCTGATGGACCCCGTGCATTTGCTGCTTCGCCCTTGTGTCCAGGGGTGCAGACCTCGTTTTGCACGGTGCCTGCGGTCCAGCTAGGTTGGAGACGTGCCGGTGCCAGATCTCGGGGCTGCTTTAGACCGGGGCGCCTTCCTCTCTCTCTTTTTTAAGTGTTTTTTGGGGGTGGGAGTCGGTGGTGGGCTCTGTCCCGCGCCCCCATTTTTTTCTTTGGGGGGTGCAGCCCCGCTTTACTCCGCCACCTCCTTCGTGCCTCGGTGGCGTGGCTCCCCCTGTCGATAGAGAGTAGAGGTTCGTGAAGCCACGCGGTTGCCATGGAGACCGTGGCAAGGGGGTGTGACCAGCGTCTCAGCCAATGCCCATGCTTGTTAACACCCCTCCCCGTTGCTGATTGGCCTGAAGTTACCCCGCCCGTGCGGAGAAGTCCTTATTAAGTGGCTTCGTTCGTGGTTCTGTCCCATTGTATCCAGAGACCCTGGAAGAGTCTGTAGTGCCGACTGGAGGACCCCCGGATCGAGCTGCCCGTCTCCATCAGCACCGACCTCGACCTCGGAGTGCGTGTGCCTTCCTGAGGCCACCTCCCTGGCACGGGGCCAGCAGGTGTGCGGTGAGATGAGTCCTGAGATAAGACCAGGCAGGAGGGGTGAAGGGGCCACGCCAAATGAGTGTGGGTAGTGGACACAGTCCAGGTCAGGGCTCGTGGGTCGGAGGCAGTCGGTTGCAGATACTAGGGCTTGGGCGCATCGTTATGTAGCAGCTGGCATCCTCGGGGGTCACGCCCACTGTTGAGGTTGCACCGGCCTGGGGTGGGCCAAGGTGTGGCTCCCCGCGCCGACTTGTCAGGCATCAGAGGCGTGCTGCCCGCCAAGTCCAAAGTCAAGGTAGGGGCCAGGGACTCCTGTGACTGGTGAATCTTAGACGGAGGAGAGAAACGGAGAGGAGAGAAATGGGTGGAGAGGCCCGAGTTCCCCATAGGCGGGGTGGGGGGGGGAGAGAACTAGGTCCCGATTAGCGGGTGGGGGGGGAGCGGAGAAATGGAGAAGATCCAGGATCCCCGTCATAAGGGGGCGGGGCTTGGTTTGCAGCCAGATGGATTTGTCGGGAGCCACATGCGGGGGCGGAGCCACAGGGTGAAGTCAGCGGGTGGGGCTCCGCCCCTTGGCACCAGGCGCCGTCTTGATTGGCTGACTGGTGGAACTGCGTGGCCATGATTGGACACTGCGCCTTCTAGCCCCACCCACGCCAGTCTCCACGTTGGTACTGCCTGCGGGGCCAGGACGAGCTAGGGGACGTTGTCTGTTACGGGTCTAGAGCTCCGCACTCACGTTCTTTGCGGAGTTGAAAGGCTTCCAGCCTCACACCTTCATTGCTGGCCGAGGGGGTTGGGTAGCAGTAGAGACCCAAGGTGATCATCTCACCCTGACTTGCCTTCAAAGAGCAGCCTAGTTTCACCCTCTCCAGGATGAAACTGGTCTCTTAGCAGTCCATGGTATATTCAACATTCTTCTCTAGCACTACAGCTCAAAGGCATCAATTTTTCTATCTCCCCTAGCCATTGTCCAGCTCTCTTCATTCTTCCAGGCTTTTCCCCACAATGCTTCTTCTCTAATTTGCCTGCGGGCAACCGGCTTGAGTAGACCACAGGGAAAAAAAAAGTCTCAGATCCCGAGGGCTGGAGGGTGGAGTCCCGCTCCTGGACTGTCTTGGCCAGTCAGATGGACAGAGGCAGCACCATCTTGGTCAGTCAAGCTGGAGTCGGACCAGGGGTAGGCCCCATGGGGTTTGCCTCAGTAGCGTGTTTGCGGCTGCTGGTGTTGTGTTTTAAGATGGATGCTTTGGTGACCCCAATTTTAAGAACCATCTCGGGAGACATAGGAAACAGACCCAGTTATTCAGGAAGCTCTGTGGGGCCAGCGGTTTAGCAGCTGCATTTCTAATAAAAAACTAAGTGGTTCTAATCCGTCAGTTGATACGACAATGAATGGTGGGGCCGTTTCTCGGGCGGTGTATTTACTGCCTCTGGAAACCCGCTGTAGGGTCAGCAGTGTGTCCGTTCTGACTCGAGGCTCCTTAACAATTTAGTCCTAAATGAACACCATCAGTTGTCTGAATCGAAACACTCTCTAATGGGGGGGGGGAGGGGAAATGGTTCGTCTTCTACTGCGTTGGGTTGATTGATTCATGGGGCTTAATTTGGACTTTCTGAAGAATTGTGAAAAGGCGGTTTGAAATAAGACGTGAGTAGAGGCAGGCAGGCTATGGATGTGAGATGATTTTGCCCTGGAAAGTAGGGAGACCACAGGTGGGAAAGGGAAGGAAAGCGTTAAGACAATGGTGCAGTTGTAGATTGCCCTGTGGGGTGCCACATAGTGGGGGGGGACGCGAGAAGGGGGTGCACGCTGACAGCAGGGAGAGACCGGTGCACACGGCCATAGCACGGCACGAAGAGACGTGGAGGGGCGGGTGAGTTAGGTTCGGGGCAGGGCGAGGAGAGACGCATGTGTGGGCGCTGAGGCGCGCAGAGATCGGGTGCACTTTGCCAAGGCCTGGCGAGGAGAGATGGGTGCGGTCAGAGCACTGCGTGGAGAGGTGCAGAGAGACTCGGTTGCAGGCACAGAGAGGTGCGGAGAGATGTGGAGAGACCCGGGTGAGCGCGTGAGGAGACATGGGTGTGGACGCGGAGAGGTATGAAGAGGGGCGCGGAG